AGAATCACAGCCGCAACACATCACTTATGGAAGAGGCATACATAATTACAAAGTCTACTTACTCTTTGAGAATCAGTTTTGATGATAGATTGAATCATTCCTTCGGTATACAACCATATTTAGTTGTTTATTGAGGATATATCAATGTAATTTCATAGATTTCTCTCCAATAGAATATCAAATTTTTTTCAATTCGATTTTAATTCATTCATTTTTCTGTTTCAATGAAATTAATTCCATTTTGCAGCGCGCAAACCTTTCAGCGCATTTGTCGAAAGTTCGCAGTGATATAGACAAAGCGATACCGAATACGAATTTCGATGGTTTGGCAATAATCGATTACGAAGATTGGAGACCACTTTGGGAACATAACTGGTATACGAAACGGATTTACCGTAATGCATCTCTGGCTTATGTTGAGGAACAATACAAAAATACGGGGAAAACTTTAACCAAAGATGATAAACTGAATATTGCTAAGGATGAATTCAACCGCGCAGCAATGTGAGTAAATTATCTGCTTTTCAACCTTTGAACCAAAAAAGGGAAATATTTTTTTAGGCTACTGTAGATATACTTTAGGAAATTTTTAACGGAAACTATTCGTGAAGCAAAAAAAATGAGACCAAATGCCTTGTGGGGATTTTATGGCATGCCATTTTGCAATTACAATGCAGGGAAAAGTGGCACTGTGGGATGCGAAGAAGTGTTCGAAAAATTCAATGATCGGTTAGCAAATATACTTTTGGTTAGGGAAGTTTTTATGAAATTTCAAAGAAAATTTAAGATTGCATAAAATATTGTCTTCAACAGAAAATACCGCCACGTAATTTATTTTGCTTTTACCTTTTTTTAGCAATTTCTTTCAAAAAAATAATTTGCATATTCCTCACTTATACTTCATTGCTTATTACATTTAAAACATTCTGCTTTTACTTCATTCTTTCGAAATTTATTTCATCAATTTTTTAAATAAAAAAATTTGAAAAATTATGCAGATTACAACCTCTGTATGCTGAAGCTACCGCTTTTTATCCGTCCATTTATTTGCCAAGCAGAAATAGTGGTCGTACTGGTTGTTTGTACGTCACTTCCGTCCTTCAAGAAGCTAAACGTTGCGCAAAGAAGTTGTCAATACCGATATTCACGTTCAGTGGCATTGAGTACTTTCCATTGAAATCTGCTGATCCATATTATAGCAAAGTGAAATTTCTCTTACTTAAAAAAAAAATCAAAACCCAACCAGATTTCAAAAATTTATACATGCAATATCCGATTTTGCATTATAATCTGTCATTATATTTAAAATATCTTAGATTTGTACTTCCCGTCTAATTATAGCAAAAGTTTTAATTACCAAATTTTCAGGAGGATTTATTCCATTCACTGAATACAGCCTTTGTTATGGGTGTACAAGGTACTATCATTTGGTCATCATCTAAAAATATGGCAGAGCGATGTCACGGTATAGGAGATTATGTCCGCAAATATGTTGGTCCAAAAGCTGAGGAATTGAAAGCTCGTGACAAAATTAAAAAGATCAGGTAAAATTAAACCATTTTCCGAATAAATGCTTTGAAATATCAGTATGATAACTTTCTACTGAATTTCATTCCACAGAATTTATCGCATTACGTATCAGCCATTTAAGTAAAACGAGTTAAACGAAAATCATTTTCAGGAAACCCAACAAACCTGATCAACCTTTCTGTGGCCAGACAATTACTGCGAAAAAAAATGAAGGGATATTCTTCTAAATCTACTGTAGTACATAGATAATTGATAAGTGATAAATTATCACGCGATTTTTGATAACTTAATATTTCCTTTTGTATTTTGTGCAAATCTATTTGTTGATTTGATATTTCCATAGTTGAACAATTGAATTTATAGCAATCAGAATTAGTTGATAGAAATTAGAATAAAGTAAGATTAATAAAAGTGAATTCACAGTTATAAAAATGAATTCATCGCATTTAAAGTGAAAACACAGTAAACAAAATGAACTGACAGTATCAAAATAAATTCATAATAATGAAATCAATACACAATAACCGAAGTGAAACTTCAATAATAGGAATAAATTGACAGTAATCAAAGTGAGTTAACAATACTCAAAATAAATTTACAGTAACCAGTAATTATCCGAAAAGGTTTAACATTATAATGAATAAAATTAAACAAAAATTCAACATTACAGAGAATGTATGGTTTTTAATTTTTTATTTTCCCTCCAAGTATTTCATGTCTTTCTGCATTTTACAACTTCTGCAGATAATTTAGATTGAATTCGATATATGAAATATTATAACGTTTACTTGACAATGGTGAGGTAATTGTAAATTTCTCTTTTAAATTAATCAAAATTTTATGCAAAACATATGAAAGTTTCTATCACAAAATTCTTCAATAGCTTGAAGATCGAATGAAAGCACAAATCACTTAAAGTATAAATATGGCAAAATTGATTGCTTTTGATTATACCAATAATTTTACAAAATTTTACTTCCTTCTTCTATCCTTTCAAATTTCTGCATTTTATACTACTACAAATTCTACTTCAAAATTGTCCCTTTCGAAATTTGTCTTCCTTTTTTTATACTTCCTTTATATCGAGTAATTTCGCATCTAAAATAATAAATTCAAATTATTTGAAGTTAATCCAAAAAAATGATCAACGAAATTAATGCTTTCCATTAAATTTCGATTGCTATTAATTTGTATTATTTTTGGTTTGAAAATAGTTGTTAGTTGATTTACACAATCACAAATATATGATAATAAAATACTTTGATTGGAGTAAAATTTGATAACATTGAAACATCAAAGAACGTAAACAATCATATAGCAAAATATTTTACATAAATATTCAGAATTTATTATCATATTGATGTAAAATCGTAAATGATCATGCAGTGCGCAAAATATTTTCCATATTTGATACTATTATAATTTTGATATTATCACCCATCAAAACAAATGATAAAATGCCAAAAATCGCATTCAATTTGTTGGTTAAATTTTTTGAAATGCAATAAAATAATTGTCAAAATACTAAAAATAATAAACATATCAATTTTCAAAGTTTCTCGTAATAATAAATATTAATATTACTTTGCTTGCAAAATTTCCAACAAACATTCCGAATATCCGACCGAGTGGATACTATAATCTTGTTACCTGATCTCTTTGTCTGATCGTCTCGTCATGCATTATTATTTCAAACAGAAATTATTTATACATAAACTGAGGAATTCAATAATCATATATTACTGCGTATTACAACCAATTAAAAATATATATAAATGCAAAAGGAAAAAAAAGTCAAAAAAACAAAAACATGAACTGTATACTACAAAGTATTGCATGCCATCTATCTATCCTTGCATTGATTTGTATAATAATACAAATACCGTATCTTATTGTATCTTTTTTTGTGTCGTATCGTATCTTCTCTGTATTGATTCTTATTGACAGTATATTCTGTGTCGATTTCTAAAGGTAAAAAGGGAGAAATAACTGTCGAAAATTCAAGAAAGTTTTCAAAAAACAGAAAAATACCGGGAAAGAAAGCAATGCATATGACAGAAATGTTGTCAGTATTGTGTTGTGGGCAAAATTATAGGATTTGGAATAGAATTGATGGATGAATGGTATAAATTCGAAATTTATTGACATTTTTGTTATCACCAAATATGTCATCATAATCATTCCATGTCAATTGTCAAATTATCAGCCAAATGACTAATTTTTGGTTGTATACAATCTTTGATGAATACAGAAGACTTCGATGAAAGATATTTTGCTTCCTAACAATGACTCTCGATTGTTGTAGACTAAACTTTGGGGACGAAGCTTTGGTACTTGCTACAAATGCGCTAATGGCTCAGAAGATCAATGCCGGAGAGAGAAGTTCGATTACAAGAGGCAGAACAGAAAATCTTCGTAGACGGTATTTAACGAGGAATGATTTTTTTTTTTTGCGTTATCTTTTATCCTCCAAGTTGATTGAGTGTGTGTGTACTAAGTTGATTGAGTGTAGTTAATGTGTACTGATTGATTAGGCAATACCTGGATGATGTGCTATTCTCTCACCAGATTGGAAGGTCAGAATAGAATATTGTTGGTAATTTTTATGGTCAAAGCTTAGGTACATTGGCTCTTTTTTTTTGTGGAAGCCTGTGATGAGTTCGCCATAGAACTTAGGAAAGTGGTTATCTTCCATCTTGGCGACGTGTCCAGCTTAGTAGAATTGTATCCTCATACTTCAATACTAGCTGATACCTACTTGTTCGATAACATTAATATTGGTCACATAGATCAGTACATATTTAGGATTGCAAGGAGACAGCGCTGGTGGAAACGTTCGAGAAATCCGGATATTGACGGTAAATGACTGATGATTCAAACCGATGTAAAAAAATAGGCAGTACAGTAGTTTTACATACATTAATCTTTGTACTTCTCTTCAACTTTTTATGCACCAAAATCTATGCTGAAGTTTCCCGGAAGTCCTATCTGTCTTTGCTAACTTGTTAATCTCTTTCTTTCTTGATTTTAGCATCCGATATCATGAATCCGCCTGGATAGTTGAACTATTGAACCGATTAAAGCTTTGATTCATTTGCGGTAATGTGAGAATGATGATAGTCATGCCATGATGCAGGTTGATATAGAAGTGTAACTTCGATCTTCTTCAAGATGATTGCCAGCAAAAAAATCTTTACAACTTCAGCAAAGGAAGATGTTAAACGCTACACAGTTTCTTCTACATGAACAACGATGGCGGTTTTGTTGTGAAAAATTAGATGATACAAAACACTTTGGTGAAATATTTTTTGTTTCACTTTCAACTGCAACCCACTTGCATGTGACATGTGACATGCGCCATGATCATATGAAAACAAATGCGTAATCTAATGACTAAAACAAATTTGCATAATTTCTATTCCTCTCATTACAACAATAACCCTCAAAACTTTTCCTTCGTTTTTCCCCCTTAAAAAAGATTGATAAAATTTATTAGCAAGAAAAATCGACCAATTTTTAAGGAAATAGAGGTTGGAATGAATTTCTTAAACTTTCAATTTTACTCTTGTCAATTCCAATATATTGGAATGTAAATATGATGATAACTGGAAAGGAGACGACATAATAATATATTTTTCCAAATGTTGTATGCTATATTTTGGTTGCTAAAAATCAAAAATTTAATTAAAGAAAAATGCCAAAATGCAAAAACAATGTAACTGCTTTCAGGTCCGATTGTCCGAAAAGAAACTGTCATCCGCCTATGGAACTACTGGAATTAGGAGAAAATGAGAAAGTAATAAGTTAAACTATTGCCAGAAGTAATGGAACAATGACAGCAAACGATTCATTTGTGGAAATTGAGTAAAATAAAGCACCTAAAATGATCAATTTATCCATAAATTACGAGTAATTAATGAATGATTAATAATTAATCCACAATTGCATAATAAAATGATAAGTATATAGAATGAAGTCACTTTATCAATTTTAAATTAATTTATATTCAATGACTTATTACCTTTAATGATCAAAAAAATTATACTTAATTTCAGAATAAAACAAAAACAAAAAATGTTAAGGATTTTAGATAACCAAAGAGAAATTCACCAATACAAAATGATATTTGCTTTCAATTACTTTATTGATTTGAAGGAAAAGAAAAACTAAATTTACGAAAAAGAATGCCATCTTCTAATTATTATTAAAATAGGTCGGTCGTTTACAACGAAAACAAGACTTCTGGAAAAATTTTTACATAAAACAAATATATCATGTTTTTTTTTCTTATTGTCACTATCATATTCAATACTGTGACAATAGAAACAGTGACTAAATATTTTTATGGAAAAAATTAAAAGCATTAAAATCGATAAGTAATTAATTTTATGAAAAAAAAAATATCAAGAGCGATTAATTTTATGCAAAAAAAAAAATTAAAACATTAAGCTATGTGAGTAAATAGTTTTGCGAAAGAAAAAGGTAATTGTTAAACACAACGAATGATTTTAAATGATCATTTTCATATTATGCCTGTTTAATTTGAAATAATTTGAACGTTCATTTTTCAGCTGATTCAATAAAAGCTAGCAATTGTTTGTTCCTTATTTTTCTAATTTTTTTTTGCGAAATACGAAATATTTTCCTATTCCTATTAGATGGCTTTGGTTTACTTTTATTGCTGACACCTTGAAAAGTATCGGAATTTGGACTAAAATTGAAATGAATTTTTAAAAACAATATGGAAAAAAAAGAAATCAAAAAAAAGTAAATTAGTCAAATTAGAATTTCTAATTTTCAAACCTAATTTTTAATTGTTTCATTTTTAATCTAAACTTACGACAATCAAAAAGAATTTACAGTAACCAGGATGAATTAACAACAGTCAAATCAAGATTCGTATCTTTGTTTTTTTTTTTCGTATCTCTTTCCTAAATTTTGTCCAATAAGTAGAGCGTTGGTTAATTGCATCAGCCTGTAATCAGCAATAAATTATTAATGGATATAGAAGGATCAGATAAATTATAGATAGTGAATCAAAAAAAATAAATAAATAACTAGCATCTATTGTACAAATGGTGCCGATCGTGGCCGTATAACAGATATCACTTTTACTAGTAAAAAATTAATATTATCTTTATTTGTTACAATATTATTTTCATCAATACTTCAGCATCATTTTAATCTTTTTGAAAATGTTGCTTAGAAATACGGAAGGTCAAGTTCCAAAAGAAAGATCTGAAATGATATCCGGTTTGGCCCTTTTGTAGCTAATAAATACAGTTATACCATTCCACTTAAAAATTAAATAGTTTGTTGAAACAACAGTTGTTTTATGCCAATACCTGGACAAATAACTTCATAAATTCATATTTCATGATATTTACAAGTGACGCAAAATCATATTCTTTCATGCAAAAAGTTCACATTACTCATTTCACCGACAGGAAAATGCATTGCTCCGAGTGGGAGAAATTTAAACAGCATAAAAATGGTTAAATAGGTGTGATTTTTTGTAATAACATAATA